CCAGGTGGGCGACTTTAAAATCAGGATCTCCTCAGTTGCTAATAGCAATTCCCACCTTGGAGTTTACAAAGACTTATGGGTAGAAAAGCCACGCTAAGTAATTTACTACACCGCAGTTTCCAAGGCTATAAATCTTTATGGAAGCAGACCGACTCCTCTTCCTTCCACAGAGGAGCTGGTAGGTTCAAACCAGAGATCTTTTGGTTAGCAGCCAAATGCCTTAACTACTACACCACCAGAGCTCCTTTATGGTAAGGAAAAGGAAGTAAAAATGACTTAAAATCTTAAGACCTGAAAACTCCTTTTTACATTTTATTGATCAACCTTTTTAAAATTCTATCTCAGTATAACACATATACACACATCACACACAATAAGATGAATAGTCAGGACAATATTATATATGTAATTCTTATCAGTGACATCTTTTTCTTTTTGTGGTACCGTTTGTTTTTTGCTGTGAATGGTGTTACTTTAATTCTCCTGTTGTTGGTTATTCAGGTAGTTTCCAGTTTTTTTCCTGTTATAAATAATGCTATAATAAGTATTCTTGTATATGTTTTCTTTAACTTACTGCTTTTTTGTCAGTAGGATTAAAGGTTCATTTGGAATTTTGGCCTGGCCTTTAGTTTCAGTTTCATCACTCATTGTTTTAGAGGGTACATAGGAATGTTCCCATGATCCATTTTGTGAAGAATACATATTTTTTTAATAAAATATTTCAAGCAGAAACAAAGACTAGAACAATGAACCCCCATGTGCCCATCACCTAGCTTCAAAAACTATAAATGAAAGGCTAACTTTCCCTTCCTTCCTTTCTTCCCTCCCTTCTCTTCCTCCCTCTTTCTCTTTCTTCTCCCTCTCTCTCCCCCCTTCCTCTCTCCCTCCATCCTTTCTTTCTTAAAACACTTCAGTGATATCAAACCTGTATATGAAGGATATTTTTAACAATAACTTTTTACCATAATTTACCAAATATGCAATTGTCTTCTATGTATTGGTCCAGTTTAATGCTAATGAAATAGATGGAAAACATGGCTTACCATGGGAGATTTCAATTCATATAGAAAGTTATATATCAAAGCCTATAGAAAAAAAAATGGGTTAGGAGGCTTATTCCTCATGACTTAGTGTTGCCCCCCAATCATGGTATCTTTTGTTCAACCTCTTAAATTCAGGTATTCTATGAAATGTCTATGACCTACCAATTTAACATCTCAGTCCAAAGAAAATGTGGTTTGAAATAACTAGCTCTTAGTAAATCCATATTAATTGCCAATTTCCCTTTAAAAGTTCTCATAAATTTCTCTTTAGAAATTTCTTTTCATAAAATTTCCAAGAATTTCTATTTGATCATGTAGTAATTTTTGTAGCAGATTATTTTTCCATCTCAAAAATCTGTGCCTATTCCACTGTTCAGTTTAACATATCCTTTTGCTCTTATTTCTCAAATGTCATTGACATTTTAAGAGAAGTGTTTTGGAAAGGACTGTGTTTTTGAAATCATCAGCTATATCTTTGACTTTGTTGCCATAATTTGCTCATTTTGAGTGTCTTGCACTCAAAATGTGCATAATACTCATGCATTCATGTTCTTAGTGCAAATACTCAGCCAAATGTTAGAACTGCAATAGTGATTAAAATAGATACAGTATTTGATCTTATGGAACTTGCAGTTAGGTGAGGAGATAGACATTCAAGATTTATTTTACAAATAAAAATATTAAGTTACCAGTATGGTGAGGAACAAGAAGGGTGTGGTGAGTAACATGGCCTAAGAGATTAGTAGACTATATTGATCAGGGAGAAGCCTCAGGAAAGTGTTTCTTGAGAAAGGGAGGGTTTTTCTGAGAGCTGTAGATGAGGGAAGAATATGTAGAAAGTGGCTTGAAATCCTATGGAGCAGTTCTACTTTATCCTATAGGATTGCTGAGTTGCAGTTAACTCAATGGCAGTGGGATTGGTTTGGTTCATCAGTCATATTTCATAGCTCTAAAGAGCTAATGGATTTTATTTATTTTTTAAATTTACATTTTTTTATTACACAATGCAACTATTTTCATGTTTTTCCAAGTAGGGTATATTGCTTGAAGGGATGCCATTTAAATAAACTCTACAACAGATGATAAGGGTATAAATAGTCACAAATGATAACTAGTGGGAAATTAAAAGCATTATGATATTATTTGTAGAGTATAAGCAATTTCTAACTCTAGTGTTAATATTATGTTCAAGAGGTATTTAAGGACACTCACTTCTCGCTCTTCATAATGTTTTACACTAATCCCAGTCACAGGTTTTTGGTTGCAATGGTAAATATTTTATAAACATCCAAATATAAAATATTATTGTGATCTGCAATTTGAATTACTGACTTTATTCTGATGATTTGTAATGCCAGATTTCTGTTGTCCAAATACTCACAATTTAAAAAATAACAAAATCTTACAGTTGATCAGTTGAAAGTGGTTGCTGTCCAGTTGATTCTGATTCTTGGTGACCTGATGTGTTTTAGAGTTTACAGATGCCCTTAAATAACTTTTCAATGAAAAATTGACTAGTAAAGAGTTTGATATTTTGCTGACCTGCTGTAATCCTTCTTTGAATAATGACCCATTATAATTGGTTAAATGCTTGATTACTGATGAAAGGTTTGTGGTTCAAAGCTTCCCAGAGGATCCTCAGTGCCAATCAGCTTCAGAAAGTTTACAGCCTTGAAAACCATATGGTACAATTCTACTGTGTACATGTGTGGTCACCAGCAGTTGGAATCAACTTGATGACAACAGTTTATTTAGTTTTGAAAATTTTCATACATATTAACATGACACTAAAGATGAAGTTAAATATTATGTTTCTTGGATAGAACTCAATATCAGCTAAAAAGATACTGAAACAATATAACATTTTCTAATTTTAATTTTGATATGTTTCCATCTTTTTTATGCTAACATTTAAGTATCTGTAACTTTAATGGACATTTTCAAATGAATAGATTTTTGTACTTAGGAAAAAAAAAACTAATATCTTATTCTTTTCATAGGTCTCATATCTTTTGGGTGAACAGAAGTCTACCTTTATGGGGCTTACAGGTTGTGTACAATTTTGTTTTATCTTTATACTGTTGTGTTTATTGATACTTCACAAAAAATAATACAGGGGTAAAAACAATACTTAAGATTAGTTTGGCTTACTACTGAATTAATCTTGAGCACATTTTAAATGAAAATTTTTATTGTTTTTACCATGTTTGACTCAGCTCTGAATTTTAGCTTGTGGAAATATCCTGGAGATCAGGATTAGACTTGAGTGAGCTTTAAGAGTGTGGAGAAACCAAAATAAACTAGTATTTTTAGACTCCACAAATTTTTCCAAATTACTTTTGGTATTCCTGTATATAATTCCTAAAAAAGTAATCAAAAGGCTATCACCAGTGACCAAAGGAGCATTCTCCTTTCTCCACCCTGTCCCCAGTGATCAGTAGCATAAGTCCCACTAAATTCCACTGCATTGCCTACCCACAGTCAACAGTAAGAACCCCTTCCTCCCAAGCTATTCCTACCCTACCCAATATTAAAAAAGTGTTTCTACTCCAGCTGTCACAACGTCTGCAGTCCCACCCACCTGATGAGTAGTAGCACATACTCTGTCACTATATTGATGAGCAGCAGCAGTGTGTGCCCAGTCTTTCTGCCCTCACATCTTTTGGCCACCCAGTGAGTGGCAGAACATGCTTGTGAATCACTAAATAGAGAACCAATGGTGGTGTGTACCCACCCAGCCTGCCAAACCCTTCAGCTGCCCCAACTACCTGGCAAAAGGCAGTGTGCACTCCAGTGCCACTAGACTAAGGACTAGTGGAGACACACTCCCACCCCTATTGTCACAACCCCTGCAGACCCACCCACCTAGTGAGCAGCAGTTCATGCTCCTGGGTCACTGGATTAACAATTGCTGGTGCTCTGTATCCACCTCACCCATCTCCTCATGCATTTCCCATCCCTGCCTTCACTGTCACACCCACCCAGTGATAGGTGAGAAGTGTTCTCCTGTGCCACCAGACTGGTGATCAACAGAACATGCCTGCCCCATACACATTGATATATCTACACAAAGCAAGAAAAAAAAAAAAAAAAAAATTAGGACAAAACAGACAGACATACAATCAATATAAAAATATAGAAATATATTTTAAAAATAACACATTAATACCTCAGAGACAACAGATAATAACAAATCATATGAAGAAGCAGGACAGAGTGGTTCAAACAAATGAGCAAAATAAAGGGAAATAAAATCTTCCTGAGGAGGAAATAAATGATGGTAGAACTACCTGAGAAGGAATTCAAAAGATTTATATTTAGGATCCTCAAAGAGATCAAGGATAACAGAAAAAAAACAAAAACATCCTAAAAAATTTCTGGAAAAAAACTCAAGAAAAAAAATGACAGATTAAATAAACAATTAGAAAGATATGAAAATAACAACTAGAAACTATAAAGTTTACTTTATAATAAAAAAAAAATATCAGAAATAGATAACTCAATGGTAGGACACAACAGAATTGAATCAATGGAAGAAAGAATCAGCAAAACAAAGGACAAACCCCTTAGTAATTTGTCAGAGAAACAATCAGAAAAAAGAGTGGAAAAAGCCTAAGAGTTATATGGGTTATCATCAAGAGGAAGAGTTTATTCATAATAGGATTCTAGAAGAGGATAAGAAAATAAAAAGAAATATATATATGTGTTGTGTGTGTGTGTATATATATATATAGTTGTTATTGTTATGTGCCCTTGAGTTGGACCCAACTCATAGTGACCCCTCCTTGGGTTTCTGAGGCAGTGTCACTACAGAAGTAGATTGCCCAATCTTCCTTCCAAATTATATATATATATAATTTTTTTTTAAACTTGTCCCTTGTCAGCTCTACTATACACCTGGGAATTCTTATAGAACATAGCAATACATTTGTAGAAACATTGTCTGCCAACCCTATACATGGTCTTGGGCACACTCTCCCCTGCATAGACATACCTAATAATTCAGCCAAAAAGAAATAATTTTTGAAGATAGCAGAAAGTGTCTTAAATATGAAAGATGAGAAAGTTTCCATCCAAGAAGCCCAATAAACCCCATATAGAATAGATCCCAAAAGAAATTCAATAAGACATATCATGATCAAATTTTCTAAAACCAAAGCCAGAGAAACAATGCTGAGGGCAGCTTGTGAAAAACAAAATATTGCTAAAAAAGGTTTACCAATAAGATTAACTGCTCATTTCTTCTCATCTGAAACCAGGCAAGTAAGAAGGCAATGGGATTACATATATGAAATTCTGAAAGAAAAGAATTGCCAACCAAGAATCTATATCCAGCAAAATTGTTTTTCAAATATCATGGTGAAACTTAAGAAATTCCCAGATAAACAGAAATTAAAGGAATTTGTAAAACAGATCAACAGAAATATTAAAGGTAATCCTAGGAGGGTGGTGGTTTAAACCCACCAGCCACTCTTCAGAAGGAAGGTTGGGCAATCTACTTCTTTAGTGATACCACCTCGGAAACTCAAGGAGGGGTCACTATGTGTCAGGTCTGACTCAATGACACATAACAACAACAACAACAAGGGTTGAGAACCAATGACAACAGACAAAAACTTGAGATAAGACACACAATAACATAGGTCACATATCAACTTAGATAAAGGTTTCACAAAAGTAAAAGTTATAAAACTGACTAGAGGGAATCAGAGGTGTTAAGCTATAAGCAATGACAACTTCAGAACAAAAACAAGGAGTACAAGGTCTAGTTACAGAACTCCATGTGAAGAGGAAGTCAAGGTGAATTCAAGATTTAATAGTGTTTTGAATTTAACAGGATAAAGGTAAACTTCAGGGTAGCCACAAAGAAAATTAATAAATCTATCCACCAAAATAAAGAAGAATAAAATGAAAGAGACCAAGTAAACACAAAATAATAACAAAAATTTATAAGAAAACAAATTCCATATAAAAATATTATAGGATACCACTTTTATAAAAAGTTGGCAATTGATATAAACATAGAAAACAATGTTTTTTGATAGTTACCAAATTTATGCACCAACCACTAAAGCCAAAGATGGGAAAATTGAAGCTTTTTCCAATTTCTGCAGACTGAAATTGATCAGACATGTAGTCAAGGTGTTTGATTTTTACTGGTGATTGAATGCAGATGTTGGAAACAAAGAAGAATCCTCAGCAGTCGGAAAATAAGGCCTTGGTGATAGAAATGACAGTGGGTATTGCATGATAGAATTTTGCAAGACCAAAAAGTTATTCATTGCAAATACATTTTTTCAACAGCATAAATAGTGGCTATACACTAGATCTCACCAAATGAAATACACAGGAATGGGATTGACTACATCTATGGAAGGAGGTGATAGAAAGCTCAATATTATCAGTCAAAATAAGGCTAGGAGCTGCCTATGGAACAGAACATCAATTGCTCACATGGAATTTCAAGTTGAAAACTCAAAATCTATCTCACTGCCACTGAGTCATTTCTGACTCATAGTGACCCCTCCTTGGGTTCCTGAGGTGGTATCTCTATGGAAGTAGATTGTCCAATCTTCCTTTCGAGGAATGGCTGGGTGGAGATTGAACCACCAGCTTTCTGTTTAGCACTCAAATGCCTTAGGTACTATGCCACCAGAGCTCCAGTTGAAGCTAACAAAAATTAAGTCCAAGAGAGCCAAAATATGACCTTGATTATATTGCTCTATAATTTAGAGACAATCTGAAGAATAGATTTGACATATTGAACACTAATGACCAAAGACCATACAAGTTGTGGGATGACATCAAGAACATCTACATGAAGAAAGCAAATGGTTATTAAAAAGACAGGAAAGGAAGAAAAGACTAAAATGGATGTCAGAAGAGACTATGAAATTGACTCTTGAATGTAGAGTAGCTAAAATGAATGTAAGAAAAGCTGGAAGAACTGAACAGATTTCAAAGGGCAGATTGAGATGACAAAGTATTATAATGCAATGTGCAAAGACCTGGAGTTAGGAAACCAAAAGGGAAGAACACTCTCAGAATTTCTCTAGCTGAAATAACTGAAGAAAATATTCAAGCCTCCTATTGCAATATTGTAGAATTCTATGGGCAAAATATTGAAAAAGGCAGGAAGCATCAAAAGAAGATGGAAGGAATACACAGAGTCACTATATCAAAAAGAATTGGTTGACGTACAACTATTTCAGGAGGTACCATATAATCAAGAACCAGTGCTATTGAAGGAAGAAATCCAAGCTGCATGACGGAATTGGCGAAAACACAGCTCCAGGAATTGACGGAATACCCTCTGAGATGTTTCAACAAGTGCATGCTGCTCCTGAGGCACTTACTCATTTATGCCAAGGAATTTGGAAGACAGTTATGTGGCCAACTGACTGGAAGAGATTGGTTTATGTGCCTATTCCAAAGAAAGGTGATCCCACAGAATGTGAAAATTATTGAAGAATATCATTAATATCACAGGTAAGTAAAATCTTGTTGAAGATAATTCAAAAACATATATTCACAGTCTACTGACAAGGAACTTCCAGAAATTCAGGCTGGATTCAGAAGAGGACTGGAACCAAGGATATCATTGCAGGTGCCAGGTGGATCTTGGCTGAAAACAAAGAATACCAGAGAGATGATTACTTGGATTTTATTGATTATGCAAACAGTTTGACTGTGTGGATCATAACAATTATGGATAACATTGCAAAGAATGGGAATTCCAGAGCACTTAATTGTTCTCGTGAGGAACCTGTACATAGACAATGAGGCTGCCATTTGAACAGAACAAGAGGATATTGCACGGTATAAAATCAGGAAGGGTGTGTGTCAGGTTGCTTCCATTCACCACACTGAAGTTCTGTATGCTGAGCAAATGATTCAAGGAGCTGCACTATATGAAAGAGAACATGGAATCCAGACTGGAGGAAGACTCATAAACCACCTGCAAAACGCTGATGACACAACCTTGCTTGCTGAAATTGAAGATGAGTTGAAACATTTACTGTGAAGTTTAGTCACTACAGTCTTCAGTATGGATTACACCTCACCATTAAGAAAGCAAAAATCCTCACAACTGGACCAAGAAGCATCATCATGATAAATGAGAAAAGATTGAATTTGTCAAAGATTTCATTTTACTTGGATCCACAATCCACACCCATGGAAGAGCAGACAAGAACCAGAATCTTGATTTCAATGGCATATCTGCTGCAAGGGACCTCTTTAAAGGGTTAAAGGTGAAGATGTCTCTTTGAAGACTATGGTACAACTAACCCAAACCTGGTATTTTCAGTCACCTCATATACCTGTGAAAGCTGGACAATGAATAAGGAAGACCGAAGAAGAGTTATGCCTTGGAGTTGTGGTGTTGGTGAAGATTACTAAAAATAGCATGGACTGCCAGAAGAACGAACAAATCTGTCCTGGAAGAAGTACAGCCTGAGTCCTCCTTGGAAGTAAGAATGGGCAGGGTCATAGGGTTGCTGTGATTTGGAGCCAACTTAACGGCACCTAGCAGCAACAACATTATCAAGATATGTCTTAAGCCTCAAAAATATATAAAGTAAAAAAAAAAATACAGTTGTTGCTTTCTGAGTTTTTTTTCTGTTTGTTTATTTTATTTTGATTCTGTTCATTTATCCCGACAAGAGTCTTTAACAGAGAATACTCTGGATATCTTTTCCAGTTACTTTTCATGTTGCTACAGTAACTTTTTAATTTAATTTGTGAAAATTGTATGTTCATTAGAGAATACAGAGAAAGATTGAAATTCGTCAAAGACAATGTAGGACTTAACACTTTGAGCTGCTAACATGGGATCAGTTATGAGGTTCTTTCAAATAAAATCTGAAAGTATCTTGAAGTGCTGATATAGATAGACTATTTTCTTTAGTATTTAAGGATATTGCTGTTTTGTGTTATTTGAAGTGAGTGATAGAATTGAACATATTTTTCAACTTGAAACTTGTATATATGTATATATATGAATTTTTTCCCTGTACTTTCTGAACGGAGCTTTTGTTTTTGTTGGATACCCTGGAGGAGTTGGTGATGTTCCAGTAAAAGTGAAGTTATTTGTGGTGAGGTTGTTGCTGTTCTTTTTTGGTGCCATTGAGTCACCTCTGACTCTTGGTGACCCTGTGTAAATCAGAATGAAACACTGCCGGATCATGTGCCATCCTCACAGTCCTTGTATACTTGATCCCATCATTGTAGCCACTGTGTCAGTCGATGTCATTGAGAGTCTTCCCTTTTCTCACTGACTCTCTACCAACCATGATATCCTTCTGTGGAGAATGGTCCCTTCTCACAACATAACCAAAGGATGTAAGATAAAGTTTGGACATCCTTTTAAGGGGCATTCTGGCTTCACTTCTTCTAAGACAGATTTGTTAGTTCTTCTGGCAGTTCATGGTATTTTCAGTATTCTATGCCAGCACCATAATTCAAACACATCAACTCTTTTTTGGTCTTCCATATTCATCATCCAGCTTTCACATGCATATGTAGTAATTGAAAATACTATGGGTTGGGTTAGGTACACCTTAGTCTTCAAGGTGGCATCTTTGCTCTTTAACTCTTTAAAGAAGTCCCTTGCAGAAGATTTGCCCAGTGCAATCAAATGTCTGGTTTCTTGACTGCTCTTCTATGGGTGTTGATTGTGGATCATGCTTTGCTTCTTGACTGCTCTTCCATGGATGTTGACTGTAGGTCCAAATAAAATGAAATCTTTGACAACTTCAATCTTTTCTCCATTTATCTTAATGTTGATTATTAGTCCAGTTGTGAGGATTTTTGTTTTCTTAACATTGAGCCGTAATCCATACTGAAGATGGTAGTCATTGACTTTCATCAGTAAGTGTTTCAAGTCATCTTCCTTTCAGTAAACAAGGTTATGTCATCAGCATATCAGAGGTTGTTCATGAGTCTTAATGCTTATGCTGCGTTCTTCTTCACATAGTCCAGCTTCTTGGATTATTTGCTCAGCATGCAAATTGGATAAGTATGGTGAAAATATCCAGCCCTGAAACCCACTTTCTTGATTTAAAACCATGTGGTATCCCCTTGTTCTGTTCCAATGACAGCCTCTTGGTCTGTGTACAGGTTCCTTATGAACACATTTACATTTTGTGGAATTCCTCTTTTTCAAAATGTTATCCATGATTTTTTGTGATCCATACAGTTGAATGCTTTTGCATAGTCAATAAAACACAGGTAAACATCTTTCTGACATTCTTTGCTTTCAACAAAAATCAATCTGACATCAACAATGATATACCTGGCGCTACTTCCTCTTCTGAATCCAGCTTGAGTTTCTGGAATTACCCTGTCAATATACTGCTGCAACTGTTTTTGAATTCTTTGTAGCAAAATTTTACTTTCCTGTGATATTAGTGATATTATTTGATAATTTCCATTTTCTGATGGATCACCTTTCTTTGGAATGAGCACAAATATAGATCTCTTCCAGTCAATTGGCCAGGAAGCTGTCTTCCTAATTTCTTGGCATAAATGGATGCATCCATTTGTTGAAACATCTTAATTGGTATTCCATCAATTCCTGGAGCCTTGTTTTACATCGGTCCCTTCAGTGTAGCTTATACTTCTTTTAATACCATTGAGACTTGATCATATGCTACCTCCTGAAATGATTGAATGTAAATCAGTTTTTCTTGGTAAAGTGCCTCTGTGTATTCCTTCTGTTTTCTTTTAATGGTTCCTGCATCATTCAATGTTTGCCCATGGAATCCTTCAGTACTGCAGTTTGAATTTTGGATTTTTTCTTCAATTCTTTCAGCTTGAGAAATGCCATGTGTTCTTTCATTTTGGTTTCCTAATTCTATTTTTTTTTCACATATCATTATAATACTTCTTTTTGTTAAGCCTTCTTCTGAAATATTCTATTCAGTTATTTTATTTCATCATTTTTCCCCCATCTGCTTTAGTTACTCTACTTTCAAGAGCAAGTTTCAGACTCTCTTCTGATGTCCTTTTTGGTCTTTTCTTCCTTTCCTGTCTTGTTAATGACCTTTTGCATTCTTCGTATATAATGTTCTTGATGTTATCCCACAACTCATCCTACCTTTGGTCATTGGTGTTCAATGCAGTAAATCTATTCTCAGATGCTGTCTAAATTCAGATGGTATATTATCAGGGTTGTATTTTGGCTCTCAAGGCTTTGTTTTAGTTTTCTTCAGCTTCAACTTTTGAATAGCAGTGCAACATTTTCTGATATATTGCTGGAAAACTTTAGGAATAGCAGTGAAATGTCTGATATGTTACACCTATGATGAGCCCCCCAGGCTGGAAGACACTCAAAATATGACTGAGGAAGAGCTGCCTCCTCAAAGTAGAGTTGACTTTGATGACTTGGGTGGAGTAGAGGTTTCAGGACCTTCATTTACTGATGAAGTACTACTCAAAATGCAAAGAAACAGCTGCAAACATCTATTAATAATCAGAACGTGGGATGCACGAAGTATGAATCCAGGAAAATTGGAAATTGTCAAAAATTAAATGCAATACATAAAGATTGATATTCTAAGCCTTAGTGAGCTGTAATGGACTAGTATTCACCGTTTTGAATCAGACAATTATATGATCAACCATGCTGGGAATTACAAATTGAGGAGGAATGACATCACATTAATTGTCACAAAGAACCTTTCAAGACCTATACTAAAGTACAGTGTTATCAGTGATATGATAATATCCATACACCTACAAGGAAAATCAGTTAATACTATTGTTCCTCAAATTTACACACCAACCACTAAAGCCAAAGATGAAGAAATTGAAGATTTTTATCCACTTCTGCAGTCTTAAATTGACCAAATATGCAATCAAGATCCATTGATAAGGACTGGTGATTGGAATAAGAAAGTTAAAAACAAAGAAGAAGCATCAGTATTTCGGAAATATGGCCTTGATGATAGCAATGATGCCAGATATCGTATGATAAAATTTTACATTAACAATGACAAATTCATTGCAGATAACCTCTCTTCAACAATTTAAGCAGCATCTATACACATGGATCTTGGCAGATTGAATACATAGGACGCAACTTGACTATACCTGTGTACAGAGGCAATGGAGAAACTCAATATCATTAGTCAGAACAAGGCCAGGGACTGACTCTGGATCAGACTATCAATTGTTCATAGGCAAGTTCAGGTTCAAGCTGAAGAAAGAAAATTAAAACAAGTCCACAAGAGCCATAATATGACCTGTGGTGGTGCAGCTGTGTGTAATTGTGTATGTTAGGAACAAAACAAAAACCAGATTCTTTATATATCATTGGAAGCTCAATCTAGTCTAATTATTCTATAATCTCCTTTACTATATTATTTATTTCGGAATAGAGATGAGAAATATTTATTCAGAAGATTAGAAATTAGGAAAACTAAGCTATAATGCAGGGGTTGCCAAATCTCTATTGCCTGTTTATAGAAGTTAATGTGTCATGTGCTTCTTAATAAAATGTATACACACACATATTCATATGTATATAATCATGTATAGTATTTATATTATATAATCATGAGTTTATATTTTATTTTCATGGTATTTTCTAATTAAGTTTCAATTTATATTTTAGGTTTCAGTGGCACTGATAAGTCTATTTGAAACAATATTGCTTGGTTACCTCAGTTATAAGGTAAGTTATTTCACTTAGCCATTTTCTACTAATAGAACACATCACAAACATTTACACAATATTCCTTTATTTATAATTTATACTGTGAAGATAAGGCAAGCTCTTCCTAAACCACTTTAATTATTCTGGGCCTCTCTATTATGTGGTAAGAAACTGTGGTAATATAGGGGCATTTTCCTTGGTGGATTAAATGTACTTCACTAATTTCTTTGGGTTAATTTAAACATTACGTGTATTTTTATAGTGAGACAAGCAATTGGAATGGACTGGCTTTTTATTTTTGAAAACCTCTTTTCCTGACCTATACCAAAGATGTTAAGAAAGCTAAAACATATCTGGCAGTAATTATTTAAATATCTCAATTTTATTTTTATTGAGCTCATATATGATGAAGAACTTGACACTGTGTACTGTATAATTGCTTTTCTCAAAGAGTTTGCATTCTACAAAGAGGTGGGCAGGATAAAATCATACCAAACAACAACAACAAAAATAACCAAATATGCTGTCATTGAGTTGATTCCAACACATAATGACCCTACAGGAAATAGTAGAACGCCCCCTAGAGTTTCCAAGGCTATAAACTTTGTAGAAGCAGACTGCTTCATCTTTTTCTTGTTCAGTGGTTGGTGGGTTTGAACCACTGGCCTTTTTGTTATCAGCCAAATTCTTTAACCACTGTGCAAATAGGCCTCCTTGAAAATTATGCAAATAATAAAAATACAAGGCAGAATTTAATAGGAATTTTCAGTGACATGCTAATAAAGTTCTATAGGAGTTCATAAAGTTAAATCATATTATGAAAAGGAAATACTTGACCATCTCAAGCAGAGGCCTTGGAAAATAGGTAATTTCCATCTGGAAAAAGGAGAAGATTGGATAGTAAGAATTGATAGAATTAGAAAAGACATGAAAGGATAGTAAAATTGGGGAATAGTGATTTTTTCATTTTGGTCTGATTATGAAGTATTTGGGAAAATATTGAGCATCCTGTGGTGGTACAAACAGTTAACAAGCTCGGCTGCTAACTGAAAGGTTGGCAGTTTGCATCTAAGAGCAGCCTTGAAGAAAGCCCTGGTGATCTACTCCTGACAAACCAACCATTGAAAACCCTATGGAACACCATCCTACACTGATATAGGTGGAGTTGCCATGAGTCAGAATCAACTCAAAGGCAACTGTGTTATTTTTATTTTTATATTTTAAAGACATTACTGAAAATAATGGGAACAATGTTTTGGGAGCCATGATTAAAGCATTATAATGAGAAGTTGATGAATTTGTTGAACATGATTGTAATTAAATGTTAAGGATATTAGTTTAGAGCCTCTGTACAGCACAGGCAAAAGGTTATCACAGTGACATTATTGCAGCATGAAAGGAATCTGGAGTGAAATGTTGGCTGGAAGAAAGGGATTGACAGATTTGATTCATGATGAGTTATGGAGGTAGAAAATAAACTATCTGCTGGTTTATTGAAATAGGTGAAGAGAAGGAAAAAGTCAAATATTATTTTAAGATTTTCTTAGTCCAAATGACTGAGACAGTGGGAACAAACTAGGAAGGAATGATACCAGGAAAATGATTCCAGTTAGTGTCAAGTTAGATGGAATAATGGAATTAGTTTTAGAAATGATGAATTTGAGGTGCTGATGGGCAAGTGCATAGGCTTGCCATGCAGTTTATAAAAAATAATAATCTGGGATAGGGACCTGGTATGCAACTATTAGCTTTGGAAGCTTTCTTTTCTTTTGGAAAATGGTGCATGAAGGAATATTTTGAACCTAGAGAAGGGAAGGTGAACAAGCTCATATGTGGAGTATGTTATTACTAATTTATCTAGAAAGTACTGGAGCAGTGATGGTTTATTAATATATCTTCCTTCAAAATGAAACCAAAACCAAACACTTTGCCATCAAGTTGATTCCAACTTATAGTGACCCTATAGGGCATAGTAGAACTGTTGCCTTTACAGAAGTTGACTGCCACATCTTTTCTCCCATGGGGCAGCTGGTGTATTCAAATGCTAAACTTCTGGGGTTGATGGTTCGAATCCATCAGCTGTAAATCCTTTAAGGTAGTTCTACTCTGTCCTATATGTTTGCTATGAGTCAGAATTGACTCAATGGCAATGGGTTTGGATAAATATTTTGATTTCAAAATCCAGATAAAAAATCTGGGTTTTGAATACCTAGAAAAACACTATAAAGTGAAGTAAATTAATATCTTAGATTTTCAAAGCTTTTTCTTATGGGAGTGTGTGAAGAATGTTGAATATAGTATATAAAATGTGATATTTCCTTAAAAAAATTAGGTGATTTTTAAGTGTATATTTAAATATATCTTATGCATCACTACAGAAGTATGTACAGAAATATAGCCTGGCCAGAATATTAATCTACATTTGTAAATGTATTTGATCCAACTTCTAGCTCAAAACTAATATGAAATTAACTTTGCTACTTTGCTAATACAAGTCCTAGCCCTAATGTAAAAAGTCATTTTAAAAACACACACAGATTCAAGATAATTTTCCATTGCAATTATATGATGATGACATTTATAATTAATTACTTCCTGTCCTTTATAAAATGAAAGCAGAGCTAGATGATATCTAATATTTCCATTCTGACCTTCATAAACACTTGGAGGGCCTGCAAGGAGAGATAGAATGGTAAAGACGTGCATATTACTAAGGAGACAGAAAGAGTAAAAAGGAGTTATGTGGCAATGGAAGGATATGTTGCTTTTAATTACCTTTTTTTCTGTCTCATAAATCCAGTCCAACCCATGATTTCTTTGGACTCTGTGAAAAGAGCATTGGATAAGCTTTTAGAGTCAGTACATTAAATAATTGGTAACTATTTCTGACCTACAAATAAGATTCTAGTTATTGTAGTTAGATACTGACAAGTCAGTTCTGCCTTGTAGTGACCCTTTGTGCAATAGAACAAAACATTGTCCAGTCTTGTGCCATCCTTACAATCATTGCTATGACTGAGCCTATTGTTTCAGCCACTGAATGAATCCATCTTGTTAAGGGTCTTCCTCTTTTCTGCTGATCCTCTACTTTACCAAACTTGATGTCTTTCTCTAGGGACTGTTCCCTTCTGATAACATGCCCAAAGTATGTGAGGTGAAGTCTTTCCATCCTCACTTCTACTGAGCATTCTGGGCATACTTCTTCCCTGACAGATCGGTTCATTCTTTTGACAATCCATAGTATATTCAGTGGTCCGCACCAATACCTTAATTGAAATGTATCAATTATTCTTCAGTCTTCCTAATCCCTTGTTCAACTTTTATATGCATATGAGGTGATTGAAAATACTATGGCTTGGGTCAAGTACATTAATTACTCTTCAAAATGACATCTTTGCTTTTTAATCCTTTAAAGAGGTCTTTTGCAGCCGATTTGCATTGTGTCATTTGATTTTTTGACTGTTGCTTGCATGGACATTTATTGTAGATCCTAGTACAATGAAATCCTTGACAACTTCAATCTCTTCTCCATTTATCATAATGCTGCTTATTGGTCCAGTTGTGAGAGTTTTGGTTTTCTTTATATTGAGGTGTAATCCATAATGAAGGCTATAGTTTTTGATCTTCATCAGTAAGTACTTCAAGTCACCTTCACTTTTAGCAAGCAAGGTGTGTCACCTGCATATCACAGTTTGTTGATGAGTCTTTCTCCAATCTTGATGCTGCATTGTTCTTCTTCTAGTCCAGTTTCTCAGATTATTTGCTCAGTGTACAGACTGAATAAGTATGGTGAAAGGATAAACCCCAATGCACACCTTTTCTGATTTTAAACCATGCACATCCCCTTGTTCTATTTGAACGACTGGCTTTTTAAACATATAAATGTTCTTCATGAGCACAATTAAGTGTTCTGCAATTCCCATTCTTCACAATGTTATCCATAATTTGTTATGATCTACACAGTTGAATGCCTTTGCATAGTCAGTAAAACACAGGTAACCATCTTTCTGGTATTCTTTGCTTCAGCCAAGATCATCTTATATCAGTAATGATATTCTTTGTTCCATGTGCTCTTCTGAATCCACCTTGAATTTCTGGCAATTTCCTGTCTATGTACTCCTGCAATTGTTTTTGAATTATTTTCAGCAAAATTTTACTTGTGTGTGCTATTAATGATATTTGATAATTTCCACATTCTATTAGATCACCTTTTTTGTTGAATGGACACAAATATGTATCTGTTCCAACAGGTTGACCAGCTAGTTGTCTTCTGAATTTCTTGGCATAAAATAGTAAGCACTTCCAGCATTGCATATGGTTTTTGAAACATCTCCATTGTTATTCCATCAATTCTAGTTAGAAGAGTCTAAAATCTAGCTTCTCTCTTCTAATTTTAAGAATATGATATATATGTAGAAATTGATATTTGCCTAGTAACTGTATCAATTCCTAATATAGATTTTGATACTTCTGGTCTGGAAATGGGAGCTCTGGTAGCATAGTGGCTAAGACACTTGCCTGCTAACCAGACGGCTGGCGGTTCAAACCCACCAGCCACTCCTCGGAAGGAAGGTTGGGCAATCCTACTTCCGTAGTGATACTGCCTCGGAAGCCCAAGGAGGGGTCGCTATGAGTCAGGTTTGACTCGATGGCACATAACAACAAAAACAACAGTCTGGAGATATATATAGCTTTATCTCCCTCCATATATTTTACAAAGATAATGCCAATATCTCTTTATATATACATTATATACATAATAATTTAAAAATACAGTTAATATTATATTTTGCAAGCACTTTATAATTCTTAGAATTAGACCTTGTCAAGTATGTACAAATAATTTAATCCTCAACAAATAAAACAGCTTAAACTCTCCTAGACACTGTATCCTCAATTTAATCAGCATTTGAAAAACAAGGAATGATGAGTACAAACAAAGTAAGGGAAAGTACATGAAATACATGTCCAGCTTAGTAAATAATAAATAAAAATTCTATGATATCAACTATAGTTTG